GTTTATTTTGTTTTTTTTTTTGGTAGCTGCATTTCTTGATGTAAGTTTATTACACAAAGGGAAGATTTTTCAATACAACTATTGAAGCAACAAACAATGTTCAAAAGATGTTAGTGAAACAGGATGACATAGTTATCTTGTAGTCATTTATGTGTAAAGTGACTTATGTTTTTATGACTGTTATTGGAGGCTGCAACACAAGGCATGGTAAAACTCCAGGATATCTGCTTGTTTTTGTTCTTTCTGGAGGTTTCTATCCCCTCAGTGGTGTTAATATTAATACAAAACTTATCTAATTGTGGGAGAAGGGAGACAGGAAGGCAGATGCAGCTTTGGTGGCAGGGAGAAAACGATAATTGCTTTTTCACTTAGAATGAAAATCAGTCAATTGCACTTCTAGGGCAAGATTAAATATCCTGTTTTGTAATAGGCTGCTTCCATTTCTGACCCTGCCTTTGTGTGGATCTGCAAGCTAGCACTGGTGACCCTCAAGACTATTCACGCTCATCTGCTATGGGCTTCAAATCACCAGTTTCTTTAAAAGATTAAGAAAATTAACTTCCATGTGTTTTAGAGGTAGGTAGACTTCTACATTCTGGACCTCTCAAGGCAGACATTTCCTTAAATAGCCTGTTCCTTGCCTGCTTCAGTTACTAAGTTGAGCATAGTGTTGTCAGATTGTCTGGTCTTCCTCTTTCCCCTGTGACACGGAGTCAGTGATTAGGTGGAATCTGAGGTTATTTTAGCAGATCAGAAAGGACAAAATTTATTTTATCTTTGGGTAATATCACCTTCTACAACCCAAATTCTCCTTCAGCTAGTACCACTGCCTGTAAAAATGGCATGGGTCCAAGTTTTGAAAAAAGTCAATGTCAGTGATGTTATAGTTATTAACAGTGACCATTCTCTGTTGGCTGAAGCAGCTGAGCTCCTTTGGGACAAAGAAGTCTCTGAATCTAGAAAGATGACTTTCATGCTTTCATTTAGACTAGTCCAAATAAAGAGCTCATTTGGGATCACCTTGTCTGTTTGAGCAAGGATTTCCAACCTAATTAACATTAGAACTAAAAAAAATTAGTTTATGTAGAGCCACCTGGGACAAAGAAATGGGAAACAGTGAAGGGCTCCAGTAAACTTTTTTGGTCCCTTGCTATTTATATGTATCTTTTCAAATTTTCCCAGCCCTTAAAGCCCTGATCTAACTGACCCAATAAATTAATTGACACAGAGATGGATGTCATACTACCCTGAGATTATCGTAGCAACCCTGGAGAGCAGAGAACAGATGGAAGGACATCTTCAGGATGAGAGGAAACAGCTTCAAGTTGTGCCAGGGGAGGTTTAGCTTGGATATTAGGAAAAAAATGATTCACTGAAAGGGTTATCAAGCACTGGAACAGGTTGCCCAGAGAAGTGATTGAGTCACCATCCCTGGAGGTGTTTGATGTGGTGCTTAGGGACATGGTTTAGTGGTGGACTTGGCAGTGTCAGGTTTGTGATTGGATGTGATGATCTTAAAGGTCATTTCCAATATAAATAATTCTATTATTTTATGACATTGAGAGTGACAGCAGAGCTTTGGTATGGGGGTGATGATGATGAACATGGTTCCCTGTACAAGTAAGGAAATGTGGTGAAAAAGGTTGTCTGTCTTAATACAAAACAGAGAGGGAGCAAGAAACATACCTTGGTCCTTTATCACACCACAGAGAGAGATTTTTTTCACTAAGGGAAACGGGAGCAAACAAACCAGCAGAACCTGCCTGGAATGTCCCTGTGGGAAAGGGGAAAGATTTAGCCTGTCAAGCATCACAGCAATGGGATCTCCCTGTCCCAAGGTAAGAAAATGCACCAAAACAAATACTGCAAAACCTTAGGAGGTTTCAGAGAGATTTAGTAGTGATCTGTGCACATTAAATGATAGGGAAACATCCTGCTTTCTTAGGCTCCCTAATAGGTGGTTAACCTTCATTCCTCATGCACTGTTTTGTGTTCCAAATAAATCTTCCCACCTCTCTTCAGTCTTGCATCCTTATCTGTGAGGAGGGGAGAGATTGTACCTGAGCTGGAAGTTGTTAGATTTCTGTTCTTGTCTTTGATCCTCTGAGCTTGTCACTCCCTGGCAAACAGGGCTATTAGTGCTGAATTTCTTCAGACAGCAGCAGGTCTGTCAGACACAGAGAGGAACATTACAGGCAGGTGCTGAGAAACCCAGATGCTGGTAAAAATATCCCAACTCCTCAACAACAGTGGAGGAGTCCTACACATCCTTGGAGAGGGAAGAGAGAAGACATTTGAATTATATCATGGGGGAGAAGCTGGATTTGCTTTGGTTTGACTGAGAAAGTATTTACTCTTACATCTCTACTAGCAAAGTAACCAGTGCCAGGAGCTGTTGTGGAGCCTTCAGGCCAGCTGGCACAACCAACTTCCTTCCAATATCCAGCACTTGATGGGAAAGATCCCTGGTCTGAACTGATTCCCGGACTGTGCTGGGAAACAAACCATTAGGGAGGTTGCTGACTGGTCTGGGCCAAAACCAGCTAAAAGTTTTTTTATCTTTTTAACAGCATGGGTGTTGAACTGCTGCATCTGTGCACTGGTGCTGTTAGATTTGCTGGTACAGAAATAGACAGTGGCAAATGAAGAAAGAAGATCAGACTCCTAGGGGCATCTAATCTCATAACATTCCAGGGTGCAGGAGCAGAGCAGCAAAAATCTTTACTTTTTGGAAGCAAGAGAGAGCCAGTATTTAATATTTAGTGCTCAACATCCCAATAGAAATCTCTTTCTTCAGTAGTAGCAATACTTAAAAGAAAATACAGAGCAAACCTCACAGTCCTCTGCAATGAGATCTCCCCTCAGTCTCCTCTTCTCCAAACTAACCAATCCCAGTTCCCTCAGCCTGTCCTCATAGGACTTGTTCTCTAAACCCTTCACCAGGTTGGTTTGTTCTTCTCTGGAATCATGCAGTTGTTACTAAAAACTGGTTAGTGGATATTTAAAATTCACAAGTATGTTAGATGTTCCCTTCCTATGAATGGTTCATTAATATTGGAAAGGCATCTATAGTCAGTAAGGATCACAGTCCAACTGGATTTGGTCTTTCTTTGCATTTAAGCAGCTTACTACTGCCAAAGGCAGAATACTGAATTAACAGAACACAGACTCACACTGATGAGATTCATCTTACCTTATTCAGGAATGACATTCCGTCCTTCTGATTTTGTAATGCCTGCAATGTAGATGTCTGCATCTGAAGCAGTAATCTTGGACACTGTGCATGAAAGAAAGCAATGGGAAATTTTATCTATTTTAGGTGTCTTAACAGTGAAAGAAAAGGACTCGAGGTGCTTATGCTATCCATTGAGTTCAAAGTGAGTTTTTGAACAGGCACAATCAGTAGGAGATCCATTCAGCATCATTCAAGACTCTCCACAGGAGTCTACTTCTCTGATCTACTTGTGAAAGGGACCACCTTGTTCTTCCTTTTGACTGCAGAAGGACACAAGCTTTTTTGCTTGACATTGTGAACATCTTCCTTTCTTTCTTCCTTTGCTCATGTGGTAGGGTAACAAGGAATCACTCTATACACTAGTGAATCTGGGTCTATTTATCACACGTAAACCTAAATACATCTAATCTTAGGCAGGTGGTGCTGGATACAAATTTTGCAGTTCAGGACACTGCAGTCCTTTGTGTCCTTGTGTAGTTAATGGTGTGTCTCCAGTTGCCAAGGGAGGAAATCTGAAGAAACACGATCAGCCCAAATTAGGGTTCAGAGCACCCTGTCCTTATACACTGGGATTTTCTGGGAAACTGGGAATAGGGAGAAAAAGGCTAAAACAAAAAGTATCTCTGTGTGTTTTTTTAATCACATACCCTACTAAAGGCAACATTATATCTAATATGTAAAAGCTAGTATTCGATGCTAATTTATGCCTTTGAAGTACACAAAAACTACATAAAACACTAATTACAACACTAAGGCTGTTAGTTTGAAGACAAGACAGAGTATGTGGGACTGAAAATTACATTCTACTACTACTGTTTAAACTGCATATTCTGTTCTACAACTGCAAACAAGATAGAAGCCTCATTAAGTGCAAAGACACATGCAGAGGAGCTGCACTGGAGATACCAATGTTGAAATCAGGAAGCAGCAGGGCAGGAGGGGAAAAAAATCACACATATGACATTGTAGACCAGCAGACCAATGTGAAAGCCAAAGTTTCACCATATTAAAAACGCCATTGAAACACAAGGCATGAAGTATACTCACTTTGCACAGTTCCAAAGCTCTTTGACACCCCGCAACAATTTATAATGAAAACCAAAAGATGTGAAATACGGAGATGTGTGCACAAAACTGTTCACTAAAATTGCCTTCAGATAATTCCTATTTTGTCACTTAATTGCTTAAAATTTGATCTTAAAAAATGTCCTAACTTACATACATACATTCATTTTAAAGACCAAAAAAGCAATACGAACTCTACAGCCACACTAAAAAACAAGCTGCAGCTTTTAAATCTCCCAACCTTAAAAAAAACACAAACCCAAACAATTTAGGAATACATATTACAGCATTTAACAGGTTTGTTTTGTTTCGTTGTTGTGGGTTTTTTTTAAATTTAAGCAGTTGAAGCAAATTGAGCATTTTTACCTTAACCTTCCCAAGGTTACTTTGGGATTCTGTCAGTATGCTTTATTCGTTGTTAAAAGGTATAAAAAACTGACTTATCAAAATAAAACCCTCTTCACAATGGATTTTATTATTGCAAAAGTTTATCTTCTGCCAAAGAATTCTAAATTGGAATCAGTTTTCTCATACAAAATACTCCTGAACTTAAAAGCTGTGCACACTACAATCACAGGTTTCTTTTGAGAAATTAAGCAAATAAAAGGAGGATAAAGGGGCAACGTAGGAAGGCAGAATTACAACTTTAAAAAACATGAATTTCCACACATTCCATTAATGTTTGGTTAGTTTTCTAACGTTACCTAATTCCAATGTTCTGTAACTTGCACCAGACAAACTTTCGGTAGTAGAAAAGCGTGTTTTTCTGGAACTTGGTCTCGGTGACATAAAAAAAAGATCTGAGCAACGTAACAACATAGGTATCCATCAGCCAGTACAGGAATTTAGCCAAAAGTTCTTCACGGAAACAATGTTCAAAGGCAGGAACAAAGTGATCACCTTCAACAAACAATTCAAAGGTAGTTATAGGAAATATCAACTATTGGCATTAGTAAAGACACAGAACATACAAACAAAAAAACCCACACACAACACTTTTTTCAGCTTGAGGTTAGTGGAAAGAAAAAAAGATAATACAAACAATTGCGCAGATGCTGCTCCACATTTTCACTGGCATTAAATAACTTAACTGACCCAAGCTTAAGGTACAAGCATACAAAATAATTTGCAGTGACAAACTGACATGCAGGATATGAATACATGCCATTAGTAGCCCAAAGACCTAATTTATTCCCTCAACATTGACTGTGCAAGATCTTTCATGCACAATGGCAAGATAATTGTGAAGGGAAAGGTAAACTGGAAATAGTCTACTATAAATGTTTTGGTTTTTTGTTGTTTTTTTGTTTTGTTTTAAAGAAATAAAACAGTATACTGTAAAAATAAACTGGGCTGAGTTGGGGATGAGAACGGTACTCAGATTTCTCAATTATGTGAAAAATAATTTCAGGGTTAAGCTTTACTTCAGACATCCTATATAAAACGTAATGCTGCAGTCAAAAAAACAACAACAAAACAACACCCTAAGTCCATCAGCACTTAAAGTATTTAGATGGCACAAAAATTACAAACATGAAACACTCCTTGCTACTGTCAAATTTAAGGCCACACAGATTTGTAGCGATGTCTAAATGCAGCTGAATAGAAAGTAAAACTGTACTACAATACTGATTTTTTTACAACTTCCACTATTTTTTCCTCATTAAATCTAGGAGTAGAATTTAGCAAAATACAACAGGATAATTTCAAGAAATTATACAGAAATATTAACTCAGCTGCATAGCACAAATCGTTATTATGGCACAAAGGTGTTAAAACCAGCTTAATTTCAACACAACAGAGCTGAGGCTTACAACTGAAACTTATAAAATGGAAATGAATTTGCACTTCTCTGGAACTTCAAGTGCGCTAAAGAGGTATTTTCATGCATTTACAGCACCTAAGAAAAGACTAACATAAAGAGATAAAACTGTTCATTTCCACAGAAGCCAGGTAACATCAGTGAAAAAATCCAGCGATTGGTGGAAAATTCTCTAACTGAAGAGTTGCAATATGCAGTTCTAAAGCACAAATTAAATCAGGATGTTGTTAAATCACTGTGCTGGAACTGTATTATTTGTTTTCCGAGTTCCTGACCACAGATGTAAATTATGACTACAGTTCAGGGAACTGACAAGAAAAATCACTCCTACTTTAGGAGAAGAAAAACCAACCCACCTACAGTGCAGCAAAGCAATTAAATGTGTGTTTAAACTTGTTTAATGAAAATTAAAATCAAACCTATGAGTTGTTTTCCCTGGAATAAGGCCAGAGCATAAAAGGGTATTACTTTTCTTCAAGACAATATGTTCCAGTTACTGTGGACCAAACATATATTCTTCAATGAAAATGTTTAAATATTTAACTCCTCAGCATTCTGGAAACCATGGTTTTGAGACACCATTTCTGAATAAAGAATCAATATATTTGCTGGAATTAGCAGTTTATTATGGAAGTGTAACCTACTCTTATTTTAGACATCAGTTCTCAGACATCAGACTTTCTACTTCCCTCCTACAACACAAAGAACCTGTAGTAATTTCAGAGCCTTATCAAACCTTTTAAAAAGAAATATCCTTTTCAGTTCACACTGCTGTAGGATCCTAGTACATCCCCAGGTAAGAATAAATACCACAAACACACCAACTAAGGAAGTGCAATCCACTTTGTACAGATGCAGAATGAAGCACAGGAAAACGTCAACATGCTTTACATACTACGGTGATCAGCCAAAGCCCCAGAGCTTAAGATTTAAGTCATAGGATGATGTCTGAAGACACACTTCAAAAAGGAAGCAAGATTTACGTGTCATCACCTGAAAAGAGGACTAGACAGAAAGGATTTGTACAGAATTGGAAGCAATAGGCTGATGCCCTCACATCAGCTTTCAGCCAGCGACCACATGGCCTGACAACCTCTACACCACCAACTACCCAGCTTGAAGTACTGCTCTGTAAGGGTGTCTTGCTCCTAGAGAAGGGCTCTAGAAAGGTGACAGATGGTGGGCAACCCCTGCGTTGCATGGGCCCCACACTCAAGTGTGAGAGGGGAACATGCTGTATAGGATGAAGGTTTATTCCCACAGCTGAGGAACACATGCCACTACAAAGTCTTTTAATCTGCCTTTAGTTCTTTCTGAAGGCTTACAGTAGCCAACAGGCAGACTGCATTTGTTCCTTAGCTGCTTAGGACACACTTCAATTCATTTTCAGAGTTACTGCAATTGGGAATTGCAGGGAATGGAAAGGAAAGTTTTGTTGAAAGACTCAGGTTCTGAACTTGTGTTTATGAAAATGTCATCCTATGAAACACAAAAAAAAGTATGAAGGAAAACAACAATTTAAGTTTTAGAAGGAAGACAGGCTGAACTGTTCTTCCACCATCAGTTACAAACACTACCAGGTTTGCTCTCGGCTACGGTTATTACCAATAAACCAAACAACCCCGAACCCAGATTCAATACCCTCGCCTTCCCACCATAAACATGAACCCCACTCATCTGACACCCCCACTGCTTAGCTCTTTAACAGAAGTACCTTTCACTAGACGAAGCCACATGCAGTCATTCACTCTCATCTTCCACATCAACTCCCGCAAGGAAAGTTTACCAAACTTCCCCATGGAAATGAACCCTTTCACATTTTTTAAGAAGCGGCACTTGTTATGGTTTGAACCCCAGAGTTCAGCGGGGATGACCCGCTCCAGGCACTCCCTCACAAAGATGTACACCTGCCAGTGGCTGGGGGGGTGCTC